ATTGATGGTACACTCTCAGTTTCCCATACCTTCCTGAACAACCCAGTTAGAGCCATTGTGAGAGTCTCGCCACCATCTTTAAAAAGAGCCGGGGGTAAATTGTCTGGGCCGGGCGCCTTATGGCGTTTTAACACTTGGAGTTCCTTACGGACCTCCGCTTCGGTGGGTGGGTCGGTATTAACCGACCAAGGAGCACTGGGGCTAATGACAGCAGACATTGAAGCTGGTGGCCAGCTAAACTGTTTCCCGAAGTGCTCTGCCCAGCGTTCCAGGCGTCTTTTCAAACTGGTAATTGGCGTGCCATCTGCCTCACAGACCGTCTCGCTGACACCTTGTTTCTTGCTGCCGGTGGCTCGGATGAGTTGGAACAGCTTCCGACTGTTGCCAGATGCAGCAGCTGACTCCATCTCACCCGCACGTTCTGACCACCAGGCCTCGCGGTCCTTACGTAAACACTTTCTTATCTTGCGCGTCAGCGCCTTTCGCTTATTGCTGTATTCGCTGCCAGCCGGAATGGACCGGCGTTCATCCAGGAGTTGCAAGGAACTCGCAGAAACCCAGTGGTTTTTGGCGGAGCATTCTTTCAAGCCGCAAGCGGCTACACTAGCTCTTTGCATGGCACCTTGCAGATGGAGCCAATGTTCATCTATACTACTTGGGGGGTTGCTGGCAAGCATTGATTGTAACTCATTCTGATATTTCAAACAAGTAGCAGGTGCTACTAGTTTGCTCACATCAACGTTTAGACGACGCCTTTTATGAACCCCACCAAATCGCAAGACGAACTTGGCACACACTAACGCATGATCGGAGTCCAGGCATGTGCTCCAGAAGGAGCGACAGTCTTGTATGCATCCTCGCCACCGGAAACTGACAGCAATGTGATCGATCTGAGTCCAAGCTTGGTTCGCAGAGGGAGGACGCCAGGTAGCGCTACGGCGATGGTTGTGCCGGAAGTTGGTGCTGGCCAGAAATAGGTTGTGATCCGCGCAAAGCTGCAGAAGACGGTCCCCATTATCTGACCTGCGACCATGTAGTCCCCATTGACCACCTAGACGATTCTCCTCTGAGCTCAGACGCCCGACCTGTGCATTCAAGTCCCCAGCCAGCACTACGATATCCCTCCGACCCGCCTGTCTCAAGAGATCGTTAAGTTGGTGGTAGAACTCGTCCTTCATTGCATCCGGGCTGCAATCTGTTGGTGCATAGGCAGAGACAACAAATAGACACTGCCTATCTGGCCTACTACTCCTTACTTTCGCATAACCTTCCAGCCTCACAGCACATAAACGACTGTTAATGGGAATCCAGTCGAGCAATGCAGCTTCGTCTCTAGCGCTCAGTGCGACGCCGACACCAGCTACGCCGGATGCCGACGCCACAGGGTCCCCAGACAAGCGCAGGTGGTACATACTACTAGAACTTCCAGATGGAGAGGATAATCGAAGCACTTCACTGGGATCTTGAATGCGAGTCTCCGAAATGCAGCAGACATCGATAGCGAGGCTTTCCAACGTTCTTACCAACCCTGCCTGTTGTCCGATTTGCATCAGCGTCCGAACATTGTAGGTGGCCAGCTTGAACGCGGCACGCGGTTTCAGGATATCTGTGTTAGTTGTCACATTGGGGACAGCCATTTTGAGGGTTACTCATTAACATCTCGAAACGACACAGATAGGCTAGGAATCCAAACAAAGGCGAAAGGCTGTCGAAGGTTAAGAAGTCAAGGTGAGCAAAGGTAAAATACAGGAAACTAAGTATAAAAATAAAAGTAAGATTGGAAAGAGATATATCAACTGGGACATCATTATTGCTTGAGAGCATTGTTAAGAGCGCGCGATGAGTTTCACTAATAGTTTGTTGCTTCATTTAATTAACTGTGTCTCTCTACAGCCAATTCAATCACCTCATTAGCTGTACAATCGCATTTATGTACAATTTTTTCATGGAAGAGGGTAGTCATAATCATAGTTGGTAATATTAGTCAATATTTTGGAGGAGTTGAATAACTGTGTCAGAGTTATGTAATAACATGAATAATTTGATCAATGAGTTGTAATCCGGATGCACCAAGATTCATTGACAAGAATATCAAACCAAAAGTTTACAGGAAAGAAACACTACTTGTTCCAAAAGAAAGAAACTTTGCATAAACTCGGATTTCATGGGAGACTTAACCTGTGATATCCTTAAGAGAAGGATTTGATTATCTTTGAGAAGAACATTCTTCTCAGAAACGCTAAGAATACTGTTCTCCAGTTGTCCACTGGTCTGCAGAAGCCTTGAGGACAAGATCTCATATCTGACCACTTCTATGTGCATATATTAGTTCATCCATTCCTGTGAAGCCAGGTAAATTGGATGTTCGATGCGTATCCTATGCAAAAGGGTTCAAGAACACTATCCCTCATGGTTGCAGAAAGGCAGTAGTGCCTCTATTAGGAGTGGGATAATCGAACATTTTATTAACTAACAATGGTCATTCCATCTCAGCAGACACCTCCTTCAAAGTAATCCACAAAGTGTAGAACGACCTGGCAAAGGCAATAACACTTTCATTTCCTTTGCATTGCTAAAGCTTTTACCATTCAGATAGAGAAACACTGGCGCTATCTATACAAAAGGAAATCATTCAACCAATTCTATCACCATGGTAAAAACTTTGCTAACTTTTTTGTAACTCCATATAACTCTTGTATATCTTTAGAACTCTTACTTAATTCTATTATTTTACTTCATTTCTGTATGTGTCTTGACCACAACTCATTGATTAAATTGTTCATTTTATTGTGTATCTCTAAGACCCTTATTCAGCTCTTCTTGTATAAATATTGATATTAACTATGATTGTGACAACTCATCACTTCTTTCATGAGAAAATTGCATATAAATACGACTGTACAGCTAATGAGAGGAATGAATTGGCTGGGGAGAGACTCTTCGCTGAAATATGTGTTTTGTTTTTCGGTAATGTTTGGGTGGGAATTATTGATGAATAATTATCAAATGACCATATTTAGTCTCACGGGATTAATTCAACAGTCAGAGGTCGAGTCCAGTCATGAATATACATGTCACTTAACATCTTGCATTGTCAACTCCCATGTAGCTGGCAATAAACACCACCTACTCTTTGAATGAGGGCTAGTATTTTATTTTTTAAATTTTATTATAGCTTGACTCCACACAGTATTTTTGATACAAGTGTGAAATTTTAAGCATGTGACATCGGTAGCCCAAATTTTGCAGACCAACCATTGATATCGGGTGTGCGTCGGCCGGGGATCGAACCCCGAACCATGTGCATGGTCAGCCAGCGTCCTAACCACTGTGCCATTGACCCAGTGATGATCGGTAACCAAGTCGATTGTTTGGACCAATGAACCACATCTAAATTTACTAATACACACACAGAATCGCGTAAATTCATTAGTTTGAGAATCATCGGCAGTACGCAGACCACTGCCGCCAGGCTTCAAACCCAGGACCTTCCATTTACAAGCAAACAGGCAAGCTCATATACCATTCAGCCACTGGAACCCGATTCAATAGCCAGCCCATGAATTCTAACTTCTACCAATTCGTGATTTAGCGCGACCGCCAACCAATGTTATCGGTGGGAACTCCATCCTCATACTTGACTGGATGGACCTCAGTAGTCATGACTTCTCATTAGAACTCCGTCCTGTAGCAAGTCACTCACTGGTGAGTATCAGATTAAATTTTAAGAGTTGGTTTGTAAGGATTAGATTTGTTTTTTCGAGTTTTATTTTATTTATTTTGATTACAGCTTGATGCCACACCGTATTTTCAGTACAAGTATGGAATTTTCAGCTTGGATATCGGTAGCCCAAATTTTGCAGGCCGACCATAGATATCGGGTGTGCGTCGGCAGAGGATCGAACCCCGGACCATGTGCATGCTCGGCCAGAGTCCTAACCACTGTGCCACCGACGCACTTAATAAAGGGAGGACCGTGAGGCTTCCCCACTGACAAAAACTACACGCCCGAGCGCACCCGATTAGGGTCCGTTGCGAGTTTCAACCCACCGAGGTGCAATGGTGAGCCTCCACCCGGGGTCAGAGCATTCTTGATCACCCTGAACCACGGATTGATATTAGTTAGAGAAGCATTGAAAACGAGCAGGGAGTACTGGTTAATAAAAATGCCTTTTATTCATTTGGAATGCTACATACTCTTTAACGTGTAAAGAGTATTTATCACAAGAGGTATTACAATGAATTATGCGTCGTATTCTACACAAATATTAAAGATAACTCTAAAATAATCACAATTATGTATAAAATATGGATAAATCACAGAGTCTAGTATATTTTTTTAAAAAGAAAGAAACTAAAGTACGTAAAAAAAGATATGAAAAGAGAAAGTATCTATAAACTTTCTTTTTGTTCATTTTTATAGTATTTCAACATTCAAATTTGAATTGCGGTCGTTTCGATATCAGTCCAGGTATCATTTTCAATGCGTATTAGTAGCAAAAGAGGAAATACTTAAAAATTATTACACATTATTAAACTACATTTGAATTTAAACTCCGCAGTTGATTTCACTTTTGAAACTTTATTCAAGGTGAATATGAAAAATTCAAATAATGTATGTACATGCGTACTATGATCAATGTTTCAATAAAACACTCGTGAATAAATAGCACGAGAAAAGGAAGCAATATTTCGTGTAAGAATAAGAGAATGAAAGTTTAAAAAATAAGACGATCATTCTGTACAGATTAGTAGAAAATAATTAAAACAAGCAAAGAACAAAGGAAACAAATCACAATGATGATGAGATATGGTTAAATGAAGTTTAGCATGATGGCGCTAAAAGCGATAATTAGAAAAGAAGTAGGCGTATTTAAATTTAGTTCGATTAACTGTACAGACGACTAGGGAAACAGAGTAAACAAAGAGACTACAATACAAAGTAAACAAAAAGGTATACTTTCAAGTTATCATCATACAAATAAAATTTTGTAGTTTATTCAATGTACAATCTCAACTTGGTTGTTAATATCATTATTATTATTGTAAGCAGTTGTTAACGGATAAGGTGTTTCTTGTATAATTCTATGAGTTATACCAATCGGTCGAAGGTGATAAATTAAATATTCTAAAATATACATTTTGATTGGATCTATACCACCAAAACTGATAAGCAATGGACTTGCTGGAAGCTTTAATAAAAGAGAAAAAAAATAGAAAACTTAACGATATTCATCCTGCAATAAATTTTACTACTGAGAAAAAAAAGACCCTAGTATTACATTTCTAGACGTCCTTATGACCAGAAAAGAGGATGGCACAAAAAGAAGAAGTGTATATAGAAAACCTACATCAACTGACTGTCAGTATACTCATTTTTTTAAACTTTGTGCCCTTGAAATATAAACGCAATCTAATAAAGTGATTGGTTCACAGAGCAAGAGAAATCTGCTCGGATGAATGTCTTGATAACGAACTTAATAATATTAAACGGTTGCTGAGTGAAAATGGTTATCTATAAAAGTTTATTGCTAAGAATATGAATCGAAAATCAAAGCAGCCCAAGGTACCAACAGTTCCGAAAAAGGCCTTATTCTTACAAATTCAGTTCCTTGGGGACAACGTCAGCGAGATACTAACACAACGTCTTAAAAAGAGCATTCCCTGCGGCTGAATTACGCTGTGTCATCAAAGCCACCCCTATTTTGCGTTCGGAAGTAAAAGATAAACTGCCAAATTTCACCTCTTCTATGTGTATCTACCAATTTGACTGCTCTTGTGGAGCCAGTTACACAGGCTGTACAGTGAGGCATGTTTGTCGTCAGATTTCCGAACATCATCCTGTGTAGTTAAGTAAAGGACAAACAAAATCCATTCGTAGCGCTATTCTGTCTCATCTCGTGAATAGAGAACACAAGATTGATGTTAACGAGGCAGTTTTAAAGTCATTTACTGCATACCAACAAATCTCAATTTCGCCTTAAGAGATCGATTACTAAACATTGCTGGGGCCGTTGGGATCCATATTAAGAAGCCTAATTTGTGCGTTCAAAAGAAGCTAGTTCAGACATTGTCCTTACTTTGGCCATCTGAATTCGAATGATCCTCAACATTTTGTAGAAATTTCCTTAATTTTAGTTGATATTCTATTTGCTACTATGTCTTTATTATTATTATTATAATTTAAGCATCTTTAATGAACTGTAATTCCATTGATCTTACTTTACAAATCGATATTATTTTTAGAAAAACGCCAACACTGTTATTGACTACTATTCTAGGATATTCTCTGCTCAATTATTTTGTTTTTATAGATGTCTGAATGAATAGTTTCGCTATATAGAAAAAAATTCACTTCAGATATAAACAGCTGATGAATAATTGAAAGTATCAAACCTAGACGTAGAATTTCCTCCTGCTAACTATAGTTAGAAAATTGACAAAATTTAGAATTCATGGACCACCGGACCGACTATTAGTTTCTGTTCCAATGGGTGAATGGTCAACGAGCTCTCATTGTCATCTGCAGGTTATGGGTTCAATTCCTAGTGGTATGTGATGAATGAGTAATGCTGGAGAGTCCCCAGAATAAGTCGAAACAGATACTTACTACTCTCTGGTTTACAATGATTCTCTAAAATGAAGTCAATTCCTAATCAACCTTGACATAATCAGTTAAACGAAACAGAGTTTTCCCATGCACCACCACAAGAGTAAAAGGCACTCAGTTGCCCCAGTGCTGAAGTAAGCGAGGGTGGGTTTCAAACTCCGGATCTATTTAGCTGAAAGTCGACTATGTAGGTTAACTCCTACATCATTATTATTGTTTCCTTTAATTCCTAGAGGAAAATAGGGCTTCAGCCGTGCGTCTCCATTGCGTTCTGTTCTCTGTTAGAGTCTTCACCTGGCTCCAGGTCTGTCCACATGTTTTCACCTCCTCTTCACATGATCTCCTCCAAGTCACCCTTGCACTGACGACCAACTCGCCGCTTCCCTTTCGGGTTCCACTCGAGTAATGGCTTGTCTAGTGATGTCACTTGACGGTTTCCTCAGAGTATGGCCAGCGAATCCATCTCCATTTCTTCCTGCCTATTTGTTTCACAATTGGTTCCTGCTGTGTTGGTTTGCTCCCAGAGATCCCTCCCTGTTGCTGATCTTTTCTGGCCGGCCATCTGATCTTGAGTATTGAGCGAAGACAACTGTAAATGAAGGTCTGTAGTTTGTTTGAGATGCTCTTTATGACGCGCCAAGTCTCTGATCCGTAAATTGAGTAGCACTGACTTCACATTGGAGTTGAAAATCCGGACCTCACTTTTCATGCTGTGTTGTTGACCTCCACACAGACTTGAGAGTAGTGAAAGCTTGTCTTGCTTTCCCGATTCTTGCCTTGATATCCTCGTCAGTTCCGTTGGCCTGTAGTTGAAACGATGCTTCCCAGGTCGGTAGGTAAAGGAGGTTGTTTCTTTCAGGTTCCTCCCATTTATGCTTATTGTTGTCTGTCGTTGTTGCTGCTGCTGTTGGTGTTGTCCAGGAATCTTCATCACCTCTGTTTTCTCTCTGTTCACCTGAAGTCCTTATTGTCTTTGATGCTTCTTTTGACAACTTGTTGCTTTTCGCTTGCATATCTTCCAGTTTGTGGGAAATCAGATATACATATCACATCGACGAAGTCCAGATCCTCCAAGTTTTTTATGTGAGTCCATTTTATGCCTGTTTCCTCATTTCCCGCTGTCTGTCTCATTATCCAGTCTACTGCAATCAGGAAAATCATTGGCGATAGTAGGCGGCCAGCCTTGTCTTACTCCTGTCCTCACTTCGAAGGATTCCGTAAGTTTCCCGTTGTGGATTACTTGGAATTTAGCATTGTTGCACAACTGTTGGATGAGATGTATAATTGTCGGTGGCTCCTACATCATAGTACATATCAATGTTTAGAACACTAAGATAGTAATAATAATAATTTGCTTTATTCCAAAACAGATTAGTCACCACAATGCATATATGTTTGAAGGGAAGAAAAGACTTGAAACTGGCGCTTCACAAAATACGCAGTTATTCATAGAATTAATATTAAACTTCATTTTATTGAATTAAATTTAGATTTTCCCGTCGATTGAATGGACCGAAGTGCTCGGTCTCAGGTTGACATGTCGGCTCCTTGTGCAGATGCCTCGGCGATGGTCTAGTCATGTAACTTGAAGTCAACTGGTGGATGATGACTAGCAGTGAAATCCAGGATACACATTTCGTTCTACTTGAGATTCGTCATCTGAATGTACTTGCATTCCCCTGCACAAAAAGTAGCTCTTGTAGCCCGAGTGGTTTAGTGGATAACGCTTTGGTGTTTGGAACTACGAGCACGGGGTTAGAACTTCGGTGGGAACACCGTCACTCAGTGAGGAGTGCAGGCACATCCGATTAACGAGTCCCAAAGAGGACGAAATGTGCATCCTGGATTCCACTACTAGTTACCATCCATCAATTGACTTCGTTTTATTCAAAACAGATTGGATTCGATTCTCTGCTCAATACTCAGTTGTTTTACTAAGTATTACTAATAGTGAAGAGATCATAATACTAACAGACGTCTGCAGATGTTGGTAATAATAATAATAATAATGATTCAGATAACTAGGTAGCCAGGGCCTGTATAGGTTAACACGATTGCTACTCAGTTCACATTAAGTTATTATAAAGTTTACTTACCTAACTGATGCATTTACCGAGAATATTAATCTACTGCTCTTTAGTGACTGACTGCCTACGGGATAAACTTTATGGAGTTCTAATGAGAAATCGTAACAAATAGGGGTTGTCACCTAGTTGAGCGTTGAGACATACTCGCCAACGGAAACTTCTTACACAAACTGATAGAAGTTACAATTCATGAGTCATTAAATTTTGTCCCAATGAATAGACAGTCAATCGACTCATCTCGTAGCCTAAAGATTTCGGGTATACACCGCTGAAGAGCTCCAAGCTAGGGAGAAACACCTGTCCACTACTCCCTAGTTTTCAAGGATTCTTTATCTGATGTCAATTCATGACAGGATCTATCGTGAGATCTCAATCAATCCATACCGAAACCCAAACACTTGGGATTGTTGCATAATTAGTTTAGTTTAGTTAATTGTCTAATGATTATTAATAATAATAATTAATAGTAATAATAATAATAGAATCACTCACTTTCTTTAAATTATACACTGGTTGAGTATAATCTGTTTCTATTGGATTCCAACGAGGTGTGCCATTTTTAAATGGATTAAAAATTTCTTTGATTGAAGTATTACTAAATCTTGACTTTCCAAACATATCAATACTGTCTTTAAGTTCAATACCTAGTGCTTTTGCACATATGGCTAGGAAAGACAAAATAAAGAAAATAAACATTCAAGGAGTAGAAGCAAATCAGTTTTAAATGATGACAACGATATTGATTAGCTAGCGTTTTAAGATAGAACTTTACGCTGAAGTGCGCCAGTCTTCAATTTAGCACACTCCATGTAGTAAAAAGGGCAGAGAAAAGAAAAATAAGTGACTCGGAAGGACTATAGTTAGCATAAATGTGCAGGAGAAAGAATAGTATCATGGAGAAACATGAGGGTCTAATCAATCACAAAGATTGAATGTATCTGCGTACGCCAGTGAGAACGATTTTGAACCATATCACCAAATGTCTCCAGCCTTCACTGGTTCTTGCCATCCTGAGGACCCCAACCAGGTAGTCTACATCCACCGAAATGGCTCAAACTAACAGTCGAATACTTCATGGATTGATATGATCACCTCTAACTCTTTTCCATTCTAATTCTATCTCAGAGAACGTTGTTTGACGAAGAACGCTGGCGCTCCGAAGGTGCTAAGAATCAATTGTTTGAGACTGTTGGTAATATGGCTTAAAATTGTCCACAATGGTGTAAAATGCATTCATTCCTTGTCATTATCTATTTTAATCTTTAATTATTCTTCCTTTCTCGTGCGTCTTCATCCAACCTGAGAGTTACAAGCGTCTCATACTTGAAGTGTTCAGATATATTTTACACCAATTTTTCAAAAGGGTTTCTTGAAGCTGATTGAAACAATATGAATACTGTCCTACTCAAATATTGTGTCTATGAAGATTTGAATGAGTCTCATTCACTCATACTTTATTTTACTCTTAGGTTGGGAAAACAATTGACAATTGTGTCGTCACGATTGAATGTGAAATACCTATAACTCATCGGCGACATCAGGTGCCAGTGGTGTTGTATCGCTAAGCTATGTGCTATTGGATTTTAACTTGCTCACTCGCTGAATGTTGTTAACATAATCATTCCCAGACTCGATGACTCATACGGTTGTTTGTGTAGTACTTCTACAGATTCCTAGACTAGGAAATGAAATCTGTCCAGTGTTCCTTGGGATTCACCTGTTTTCTAACTGAATTCCATTGTGCAGAAAATTTTATTTTGATAAAGTCTCACAGTGTTATAAGGTAATATTTACCGATGACCACGTTTCGAGCACAATTTATTACCACTCATAATCATATCAAGGCGCTACTCACACAACTTTCAAACTTCGTTTATATAATTCCACTATTTTTCATCGCTTGATTTCATTAGTAGTAATATTTTCCATATTTCTGTTGCACGTGTTGCGTGTAGACTCGATGAACCAGGCAGGATTCAGTAACCAACCTCTGTCTCTCTCCACCTATCTATATATTACTTTTTAGAATTTTGATTCTGTCCCACCTTATTGTGTGTTAATGCATACAGTGCGATTGCTGAGCCTTTTTCCAAATTACTTGTCTTCTCGAGGTCAACCATCCTTACCGTAGCTAAATTCTTATGTTCTGACAGGCAGTCTCACTACTCCTGATCTACTAGTTTAACTTATGTAGTTGACCTAACTCACACCCATTGCAAAGTATTTTGTAAATTGCATTATTTTGTCTAATTGGGTCAACCGACGGGGTCCTTTAGCCTACAGAGCTTGTCCTACCTGAGTGAGTTTGTTGGTTTGAATGCCACCCTAATTCCTGCTTTAATAAGAATCCTACGTAGGATCTCAGATGTCCCCTTCTTATGTGGTAAAACTGTGGATGTCATATGTTCTTTCTTATTTATGTTTGTTTCGCTTTTGCTGTGAGACTTTATCAAAATAAATTTTAACCACAATGGAATTATACTCTACCACAGTGCACAAGTTCTATTCTTATATAATTCAGTCCGATTAAAAAAGCATATGACACTTCCTGGTTGTCTAAGGGGTGGGGTCAGAAAATGTCACCGCCTAGTGGTTAGAAAGCCGAGCTCCTAGATCAGCGAGTCACACACCTCTAGACTTACAGTATACGTGTACAAGTAGTAAAGTCTTTGAGAACTGAAACAGAATGAATAAAAATTCAAACTTAGAATACAACATGATTTTTCTCAACATTGTGAGAACAGTTTACCGATGGTAAGTACAAAACAAGTACAAAAATTAAAGAGAAGTTCAGTCAACTATAGGCTCATCATATCACCTAGATTAATTACTATACTGTACAATAGAAAGATCACAGATCATTAAGCCACTGGGACCATTATGGGGGCAGTAGGTTGAAGGTGAGGCAATAACTCAGACATTGTGAAGTGGTCGCACTATGTCATGAATTGGCAGAAACTAGAATTGATGGGCTGGCTATTGGATCGGGTCCTAGTGGCTTAATGGTCTACGAGCTCACCAGGCTTGTAACCCTTCGGGTGCGTACTGATGAATGGTCCCAAACTAGACTGAAGAAACAGCTGTCCAGTACTCATTCAAGGTCTTTCAATGGTTCTCTAACGGATGTCAACTCATGATGAAATCCTCCAACCAATCAAACAACATCCCTACAAACCAATACTTGAAGACACTTAAGAATACACATTTACATTTTCTAATATTCAGAAGGAAAAACTCCAGTTTACAATACTAATTTATAAATGGAATCAGTTGTGACTTGAATAGAATAATGGTAAAGTCACTGAATTAGATATCACTCACTGAAAGACACAAGTTCGAAAATGGTTCCTCTTGTGAAAGGCAGATAGGTAAGCGATTATGTGACAAGAGTTGAGGAGGGGAGGGAGAAGGTCAAATCACAAGATGACATGAATCCATATAGTCTATTACTATACTGGTTTGCATCACTTAAGGGGATGTAGACTACCTTTTGAGCGGGGTTCTTCAGACTCTAAGAACCAATCATTGGAAACTGTTGGTGACATGACTCAAAACTATTCACCATGGCACAAACTCATTCTCTCTTTGTGAACTCTCAGATTCACTAAAACCTCATCATTCTACATTTAGTTATTCTATCTACTTTAGTTCCTTAGCATTCCTTTCAAATTTGAACAGATCTTCAACAGTCAATAACACTAAGAACAACTTCTATGCAAGAAAAAAGACAAAACCAAATGAATTGTGAAAAACCAATAGATACAGGTGTCAGTCAGACTGTCAACTTCGTCTATAGCTAAACATCAAATCGAGATGAACCATAAGATTGACGTTAACTCAGCCTTTAAGGTCATCTATAAAAACGGTCAAGGGCGCTTATTGAAATACGCCGAGGCTATAGCTATTCATAAACTTAAGCCCCCCACCCCGAACTGTGTATTCAAAAACAGTTTATTATTACTTTTAACCTATCTTGGTAATCCTTATTTGATTGGATTACCAAACGTTGAGTTAATCATTCTTAAATCCTTTTTTCTTTGTCACTTTGTTTAATTTAACTTTTTCATATATATATCGACTTGACAAGTAAATGTGTGAGGGATCAGATTGTCCGGAATGTATAGCGCAAATACCTCACATCACATACTTTTTCAGATAATCTCTGTCTTCTAATAACGCTATCCAAATTTATAAAAGGGACTAATTGTTTTATAAAACCAACTCACATATTTGAACATCTTCACGAACATGTGGAATCGGTCCACATTCAGGTAATTTATCTAATCCTTTACGAACGATTAAGTTAAGCGCTGCTTGTGATATTACATAACCAAAACTACCAGATAAAGTGAATTCATTTGGTTTGATCTGGAAAAAGACAATGATAGACGAAATACACATTATTAATATATATATATATATGTGTAAAACTTGGGCACTGTGGTAGTATGTAATTCAATTCCATATTAATTTGTTTATTAGATGGATATATTACACAGTGAAACAGTATTATTATTATTTACCGGATGACGAAGTTTCAAACACAATTCATTGATGTTCATAATCACATCAATTATAATCACACGACTTGGAGACTTCCCTTTTATAGTTTTCTTTATTCTTTCCTATTTGTCATCGTAGGGGTGGTCGAATTTTCCAGATGTCTGGGTGGACAGGTGCTGAATCATTACCCCTATTACTAGTGTTTGCAGTTGATTCGATAAACAAAGCTTCTGTTATCAATCTCTCCCTCCACCCTATTACATTAGATTATAAGGCTTCCATTTTACCCCATCCTATTGTATGGTTGTGTGTAATTGCATGTAGGACTATAGCTTAGCAGTTCTCCTTTACCAAGGAAAATCTAAGACAGGAAGTAAGACATATAAGAGAAGCTTTACAACTTAACAAATACCCTGATAAATTAATCAGGAAGTATGTAGGAAAATGTAAACATAAAATTAATAATAACATTGGTAGTAATAAAAATGACCTTGACGTTATATTAGATTTTAAGACTTTCATCTTATCCCATCCTATTGTATAGTTGTGTGTAATTGAATGTAGTGCTATAGCTGAGCTATTCTTTAGATCTCTTATCTTATCAAGGTCAAATAATCTAGATTTTTGTACTCAGCTAGTCTAATTGACCACTTTGACCTGCGTGTTCCACCGGACAATCGCTGCGGGGTATTAGATAAACTAAAATGTTCTGTTTAATGGTGGCATAGCGGTTAGGACGCTCGCCGACCATGCACATGGTCTGGGGTTCGATCCCCGGCCGACGCACTCCTTTACCTCACTAAGCCAGAAATAATGCTGGTGAAGAGGAGAGGTTGGGCATGAGGCTAGCAACCCCATCCTGTAAAATCAACACTGCTACAGAAACTTCAAGCCGCTAGCTTGAAGCCCTATGTTCCACTGGGGAACGTGAAGGTAAAAAAAAAAACAAGATCATTTAACCGACAAAGCTTAATTCTAATTGAGTATGTGGGTTTGAATGTGACTTTTATTCCTACATTGTTGAGAATTCTACACCAGTAATAGGAGTAATGATTCAACACCTGTCCATCCAGACATCTGGAAAATTCGACTACCCCTACGATGACAAATAGGAAAGAATAAAGAAAATTATAAAACAAAAGTTTCGAAGTCGTGTGATTATAATTGACGATATGATTATGAACAATGAATTGTGTTTAAAACTTCATCATCCAGTAAATAATAATAATACTGTTTCACTGTGTGATATATCCATCTAATAAACAAATTAATATGCAATTACACAATTATTAATCCTGATACAATCATAAGGCAATAATATTCATTTATTTAAGAAAACAGAAAGTAAATTGGTGCAGTTGATCAGACAAACAGGATGTATTGCTTATCGGATTACACAGTTTGATTTCCAATTAGTAGCTTCTGAGTCTAAAACACTCTAATTCACTCGATTCCACTTCATTTTTTCTAGCTGGGATAAAGAAACAGTGCCATTTCTTTGAAATTCCATTGGATTTCGAGCGGAGCAAAGGGTCTCAAACCTGAATATTGAAGTTTCAGTAGCGGTGATTTTTTTTACGGAGTGAGATTGCTAGGCACATGTACAATCTTCCATCCTTACCAGGCTTACTACCAGCTAAAAGAGGTTTAGGAGTGTACCAGTAGGGAGTCGAACCCAGATCCTGTGTGCGGTTGGCTAGCATCCTACCAATGAACCATTGATAGTGACAGTAATCCACTACATTTACTGTAGTTTACAGTTAAGCACAGAAAAAGTGTGTCAGATAACTAAACTTCGTTAAATTATATGCTTTTACTATTACCAAACAAATACTAAACCGTAAATCAACTAGGATTAAAACAAGAGTGAGACTCTATACACAGTAAGTCAATTTCCAAGGTAGTGATGGGCTGAAGGAATAATAGTAATAATCACTTTATTCCCAACAACAATAATAACTATACAGACTGGAATTTCCAGCATTGTAGTACATATCACACTCAGCAAAAAGAACAAGACTCGGATTTTCAACAGAAATGTCAAGTTAGTCCTTCTGTATGGGTCAGAGACTTGCACTGTGTGTCAGTCACGAAAAGCATTTCCAACAACCAGTTGCAGACTTTTATCAACAGCTGCCCACTTCACTGGCTGGCTCCATACTGAAGATCAAATGGCAGGCCAGCCGGCCAGAAAGAATTAGCAACAAGAAACTCTGGCTGGGAACAAACCAACCAAGAGACGATCGCTCACCAAATATGTTGGAGAAAATGTAGATGGATCCGGCATACACTGGCTGAGGAGGTCGTTGAATGATATTGCCCGCAATGAAGGCCATCGCTCGAGTGGAATCCTAATGGGAAGCGACGAGTTGGTCGTTGGTTCGAGTGTGACATGGAGGAGACCGTGTGGCGAGGAGGAGATGAGAGATTATAGACTCTCGTGGACCCAGATGAAAACGACAGCAGAAAATAGAAGTGGAGATGTGTTGTCGAAGCAGTATGTTTCATTCAGAACCCAAGAGGATGATAATAATATGTACATATTGCAACAATTTATCTTCTCTTATATATATATATATATTCCTTCACGTTCCCCAGTGGAACATAGGGCTTCAAGCTAGTGGCTTGAAGTTTCTGTAGCAGTGTTGATTTTACAGGATGGGGTTGCTAGCCTCATGCCCAAACTTTCCTCTTTACCAGCATTATTTCTGGCTTAGCGAGATAAAGGAGTGCGTCGGCCGGGGATCGAACCCCGGACCACGTGCATGACCGGCGAGCATCCTAACCGCTATGCCACCGACGCACTATCTTCTCTTATACATAAATAAATTACACAGTAAAAATATTAGAGTTAATAGAAAAATATTATAGGTAATAATAATACTAGTAATAAGTTTCACACAACTCCTGTTCTAAATATGGTATAGTTGAATTTTAAAATAAATTTCTATGAAATTTCTTCTGGTGCTATCTGAAGAGATACAGGGAGAAAGTTGTGAATATAGAGGTTATTCACTATCAAACAAGACGACTTTAGCCAACTGCTTGCAGCGATTAAAATATCTATCAACAACTATATCAGTTACTTGAGTTAGTTAACTGTCTTAACCCTGCTTAAAGCCTTCAAAGATCCACTTCATATAAATGTAATCCTTCCTCAGAAGCCCAGGGAAGAATAAGAAGGAACAGTAGAGAAGAATGGGTAGAAATATATGAATTAATAAATTATAAGAGAAGAGGTTAAGTTATACCGGAAATTCTTGACTCAAAGGAAAGATACCTTTCTTGGAAGTCAACAAGATACGAGACGACCAATAGAGATTGGAAGAGAAACTGACACCGAAGTAGATAATATTCGATTTATTTCCTGCCACAATGACATCGATATTACAACAATCGTGGAATTGAATCACTCCACACAGGGCTTTTTTCACGCCTGAAACTAAAATCAACACTCTGATAACTAGAGAGGTCTAGTGTAAGACAAGCTGGCTGGCTGCCTATTATCACCGATGATATTCTTAATTGTGGTGGACTGGATTATGCGTCAGACTGTTGGGAGCGAGGAGTCAGGAATACGCTGGACGACCGATAAGAAGACGCAAGGGAATAATAATAATAATGATAACTTAGGATTTGCAACTATCATAGTGATCTAATGAAGAAACAATTGGAGCAGAGATTGCCAGATCATCCAGCATGTAAAGAATCATGCTGTTTGAATGTGCCATTAATGAAGACATTGATTTCTCGCCTCTCTCTCTGTCACACACTGAACTTCAAATTCAGCATTGAAGATGCTGTCTAGATTGATAACGAAAGCTCCATAACTGAAATTAACCAGCCCACAGACCTTTTTGGTTATCTGTCGAAAAATCATAAAGTACATTTTAGTTTCTTCTCTATTTTCTTTCATGGTTCTCTATACTCAATGTCAGTTCATGTCAAAGTCCAATTGTACCTATGGATATCTATATATGTATGTGTAATGATCTCATATTTCAATTCTTAAGTGGTAGTGATAAAGTTTATCTGAAAAAAAACAAAACAAAATAAAACAAACAAACGATAACTGTAAGATTCAGTGTTTTGTTTTGTTTTCAAATCATGACCAATTTCAAAACTTCTTGAAGTAAGCACGAGTAGTGGAACTCTACAGATTCAAGTAAATGAATGTTCATTTTCAAGCGGATTCTCATTCAGCAGTGCCAAACGGTATAAATAACACCAGACTTATTTAATGCGTACGGACAGTTAAACTTTTGGATTGATCACAGTTTACTTTCGTTAAAAAACAGGTATCATTACATTGTCATTATTGATGATGATTATACCTTTGGGTTCCAAGCGGAATATAGGGCTCCAGTGGCGCATTTCCATTCTCCTCTATTCTCTGCAGTCTTTTTAGCTGACTCCACTATTGCTCATGAGCTTTCATCTCTTCCTTACACGATCTTCCTCCCCCATGTTACCCTTGGACCCCCAAAATCATCTTTTCTCATTCCAATTCTGCCCAAGGGACTGGCTAGTGTCACACAACAGTCTCTGTAGCGTATGTACAATCCACCTTTATTTCCTTCTGTAGATTTATTGAGCGACAGTTTCTCAGCTGGTTCGTTGCTGCAGTTCTTTGCTGCTTATTCTTTTAAGTCGTCTGATCTTTAGTATGAAGTGAAGACAGCTGTTGATGAAAGTTTGTCCGTTTTTTTGTTCCCTACGGTCTGTTACATGATCCGGTCCACTACAATCAGGAAGATCATCAATGATAATAGGCAGCTTTGTTTCATACCTGTCTCCACTTCAAAGGTTTCACTGAGCTTTCCGTTGTAAACCACTTGGCATTGAACATTATCATATAGCTGTTGAATAAGGTTTATAAAGGTGTGAGGCACTTTTACTTCACGGTTGACTGCCAGCCTATGTCCTGTTCGATGATGATTTATAGCGTTGTAATTTGATCCGTACAAAATTTGCTTTTCCAGAATCTATATTGTTCCTGGTGGAGTTTTGCATTTAGAGCATCTTTTAGACGCTTCAGGATAATGCGGTTTAATACCTAGATTGAGGTGGACAGGAGCATGATTCTACGGAGTTGTTGAATAGACTTAAGTCACCCTTCTATGAGAGTTTGACAAGGTAACCCTTTTTCCAATCGGTAATTAGCTTTCGTTCTTTTCAAACCTTCTGTAATAATGGTATGAAGACACATGAGAACCAGACAAGACTGGGGGGTGATCTATCTACAGAAGGTTACGTTTCTCAAATCTTTTCCATACATAGTTTATCGATGAGTTTGTAAGACATTATTGATTAAGGTGGTTAGGACATATGTCACGTATACCGAACCACCACTTTCTTCGATAAACAATGTCAGCTGAAATAGGGTTATGTTAGAAAACAGACATAACCAAATCAAAACATATCACCTACCCTTAAAGTCAGTAGGTGTTGGTCTGAGTCACCTAGACAGGTTTAGGTTGACTGCCTAGAGTCCTCAGGTAGCTAAGGATCAATGGATGAAAATTCCTAATTTTATTGTGAAGATGTATTCACTCCTTCTCATCTTCTGGATTCTGAAGGGCTTTAATAATCTTTATTTAATGATTCACTTTTCCTCTCGTATACCTAAATCTATTGTAGTTCAATGATATTTTGTTTCAAGCGTGACCACAGATTGATATCAGTTAGAGAACCATTGAAAACCAGCAGGGAGTACTGTACATCTGTTTCATTTTAGTTTGTGGCTCATCGGCAGTACGCACCCACTGGGGTTCGAACCCAGGGCCTTCCGGTACATATCAAATCCCTACAAACTAACTCTTGAAAATTAATCTAATCCTCGCTAGTGATTGGCTACAGGATGAAGTTGACTGGAGTTCTAGTGATAAGTCGTGACCAGTGGGTTCCGTCGGATCGGGATTGAGGACAAATACTCGCCGATAACATTGGCTAGTGGTCGCGCTCAAATCACAAATCGGTAGAATTTAAAATTCATGGGCTAGTCATTGAGTCCGGTTCCAGTGGTTGAATAGTCTACAAGCTTGTCTTGTAACCGGACTAGACGCATGACATTGGTTACTGCTTAGCAACCAACCAGGCGTCGGTGGCACAGCGGTAGAGTGCTCGCCGATCATGCAGGTGGTCCGGGGTTCGACCCCAGACCGCTAAGTCATTAGTAAAACTGGTGAAGAGGGAAGGTCGGGCATGAGGCTAGCAACCCCATCCTGTAAAAATAAACACCACTGCTACAGAAATTTCAAGCCTCTAGCTTGAAGCTCTATGTTCCACTGGGAACGTAAAGGAATAAAAAACAATCAACCAAAGATCCCCCTTTGACTCAGTTCTCTGCCATCAATTTCTACTGACTCTAAGAGTGCCTACAAGCTTTCACTCCCTCCTCTCCTCAGTGTTACTCTCGGATCCACTTTCTACTCATTGCTTCCCATTTGGGCTTCACTCGAGGGCTTACCTGGTTTGTAATGCCACTTGAAGGTCTCCTCTGGTACAGTCCTGTGTTGCTTATCCTTTCTGGCTATACTGCACAGTGGTTCAAACAGCCACACCATTTATCAGGTATAATGCAAAGATGTGGTTATGACATATAAACAAAGGTATTAGAGCGCCACAAGACATAGGAAGGAGAGATAACATAAATAAAGGACTGTTAGGATTATGATTAAGAAGACAAGATATGAATGTATTTATAGCGTTTTGGGATTGAACGTTTTCTTTTGAAAACATAACTTCAGGTTGTCAGGTGAATCTTAACCAGACAAACTAAAATTTTAAACGAAGGCTCAGACCAACAGCAAATGATTTCATGAAGTGATGCTATGTTTTTGTATCCTTAAAAGAAATCCTACCTTCACCATTATAGAGGACGACATAATAGTTATTTAAATGCTGAATAACTGTTAAACTAAACCTAGTCAGTCGATTTGGACTTTCTAATATTTTGTTTTACATTACCCTTCAAATTATTGTAATATATCAATACCAATCGGTAAATGGTAATTTTTTGAACTCACTTCATGAATATGACCCATAATAAATGGTTTCCGAGGATTTGTATACTCTAAAGCATTTCTTAGATTTTCTAAAATTATATAGGTTGTATCATCAGCTTTTAAAAAATAAGCTGCTTTATACGTTTGAGCATAGACTGCACGAAGAGTTTCACGCATTGAAATCCATGAATGTTTATTATAATTATGTGTTCTGTTAACAGCTAGATAGGAAACAAAAAGAAAGTATAAAAAACATTAAAGGGAGAAAAACAAAAATTATCTAGTTGATGGAATCCAGAATGCGTATTTCGTCCTATTTGGAACTCAACAGCTGGATGTACTTGCATTCTAGGTGAATGATAGTGTTTCTACTGGAACTCGGACACTCATCGTATCAAATACCAAAGAGAAACGTATATCTTTCGCCACACTAGTAGCCACTATGAACCAGATGACATGATCTAAACCTTCAGGTATCGTTGAGGCGTTTGTACTAGGAGCCGATATGTCCCAGTGGGGTCGAGCATTTCATTCCAATGTAAGCCAATCAACGGGAAGTACAAACATTAACTTAAACAATTAACAAAATTACTAACAGCGTTAATTAAGTCATAAGGTAAAGAAATGTAGTGATACGGGTTTCACTTAGAGGGAATAACTTTATGATAAGCTTTGACAATATATTTACAGAGGCAAAAATGATCCTTTAAAAAGATATATTAATAAAACACGAACTTGGTACATTATGGCCAGCAAGAGATGGCCCACACGAACTCTCATAGTTTGTGCAAGGGCTGAGATACTGCCCAGTCCGAAGCAGGTGGTTGTCTTAAGGGGCTACCCCACCCACGAACTGTTGACTTGAAGTCTGATCCACAAGGCAGTGGAGCAGAGTCAGGAACTGCTTCGATCCTTTCAGATTCTGGAGCCCATGTACACCATAGGATCGGAATCATGGTTTTCCAGCTCTCCTAGGTAGACGATTATGTCCACCAGTCTGACTGTAAGCACCAGACGTTCGCACTCGCCCTTTCACTTTTGTGAGGAACAATCCCTCTGCATGAAGGCAGTCAGTTGAACCTATATAGCAGAGGCCACATGAAAGCATTTAGAGAGAAAGGCTGAGGTTTACCCGCTTTCAGTCGTGCCGGATCGTTTATGAGGGCTCCAAACGGATATCACCTATTCTTTGTCTCTTTCAATCAAAAAAGAACAATAGACAGGGTGCGAACAAAAAATATATATCTTTGTGGTCACAGCTAGATTACACCATCGCATTGGTAAATTCTTTCAGTTCTTCCTGACCGTAAATTATCCACTTGTTTGGATGCATCACTTTTGGAAGACTGTTTGCCGACATGGAAACAGTTATTTGTGACAATTAGTAAGTGCTACACTTATCGTGTGAAGGCTGTCGGCACTACATAGTCTCTTAGGCTGAAGTAAGTGGGATGGGTTTTGAGCCAGGGACCTACTGGATGTAAGTCAAAAGCCTCAGCCACTGAGCTATGGATCCACTCATAGGGCCATCACGCCTACTGTTATGGACATACCGACAACAAATTACGTGGCTATTCACACCTCTTTGGTAGCTTAAAGGTTTGATAAGGCTCTCAAATGCGTAGCATCTAGGTTGGGGTGTAATTTTATCAGTGTTAAATCAAACTTGATAAAATCATTTTGGAAAATTGTTGGATTACACAGAATGTGCTTATCCAACAAACCACAATCTGAGTTGGTAGTGTTGACTATAGAAAAAGTTAAACGGAATAAGGTCTAGCAATACTCAAATTTGTATAAATTATCAGGGCATAGAGTTACTCAGAACAAATTTGAATTGTATGACATGCAAAAGATTTTCTGAATACGGTTAAAAAGAAAAAATGTTTTAAGTAGAACCACGGAAAACCACTGCGATGACATATGTGCATCATTTTTTTCCAAAGACAACAAGCTATTCTAAATTTATTTATTGTTTCGTCTACCGTTGTTTTCCTTAGTCGGCTTTGTTATCTTTCTTCTTTGATATTACTTGATGCAATAATTGCGGCAAATCATTCTGACTACTTATTTAGTTTACTACATACAACGATCTACAAATCTAGAACTTCAAGCATGAGATTTTGTGCATGACAAAATTGAAAACTTGTGGAAGAAAAACTGTCTACAGCAGAGTTTCAGTTATGAGGGACTATATGACAAAAGGTCTGTACAAGAAACTAAACAGTCAGTCATTGTGTTACGGCAAGTGGTTTAATTTTAGGATGGTATATGATATAGTTTTTTCGTACAAGCGAAAGACTTTTGAAGGCCAAAGTATTTAGAAAGCTTAGGTTGCCTTTAGAACCCTGAAAATTATTTTCTCTTCCACTAGATTAACAAAAGTGCATTACCAATAGAAATTTATAAATTTTCCATAAATAACAACTTACGTAGCATTTTAAGCAGCTTTTCTGGTTTTGAACTGATAAAACTATACCGAGTACATCTTCGAATCCAAGTTGTTTGAACATGATACGCTTTCGATTTATGTGCTCGAGGTTCCGTCAGTACAAAGCAATAAATATTCACTTTTTTAGCAAGATGTTGAGCGTAACTAACATCAGCTGTTAAAAACAGTATATTAAGGATATAGGGAACATACTTAAAGAGAATAGGGAATAATTTTTCGTACTCCAAATCAAACTACCATCAGACAGACATTTAAATTTTGGTTTTTCAGACAAATTGGTAATCCATCTGATTAGGAATACAAATCCCAATCCAAGTAGAAATAATTTCACGTCGTTTAATCGAAATCTTGACTAAGAAAATTTACTCAAAATAGAAGAGGCTTACCAAAATATACACAAATTGATTACAACAATTAAGTTTTGGAGCCATCAGAATAACCAAGGGATGAAATCCTATATTACACAAAAAATATCATTTGAGTAGTGAACATTGAGGGAATTTATTAAAGAATTTATTCACTGCCTGTCTAAGCTATACAGGAACGAAATTAAAGGCACTTTATAAACTTTAATGATACAAAATCCTAAAATTTTGACGACTAAAATTATTAAAACAGTTAGTCCCTTTGATAAATTTGAATAAGGCATTTAGAAGACAAATTTCGCGAGATGATATCATTTTGTAGTTTCTCTAAGATCACTTTATAACTAGCATGGTTCACAGTAATGTTTGAAAGCACCTAATGATTTTTCAAAACCTGCATTGTACTGAATATAAGGTGACTTAGATAACCAAGACTGAAATTCTCATCAATGATAGGAACGTAGTGCAAACTAGCATCACAATTTAAGTCATTACCCACGAAGAGTGAGTTACCGATAAATAAGGGATTCAGTTATAATCCATAAACACTGAGTCACAAGCAAGCGCTGGCAGAATGTTCACATATTTTGTGGGAGTCTCCAGTCTTTGCATGACTGTGTTGAACTTAGTCCAAACTGTTAGAGTAAACGTTTTTAAGACTTAAAGTCTGAAAATCTAGAAGACGGTATAAATATATGGCAGTCTTGTTGTTTACCAGATGTAAGATCCTAATAAAGCAACACTACAGTTGTTGGCAGAAGTATAGTCACCATCTCAGTCAAATAAAAGTGAAACTCGAGAGACAACAAAAAATGGAAGTGGTTTCCCCCCTCCCATTTTAGAAAGCATTGTTACAGATTTTAATTCCATTTAAAATACTGCACCAATTATGGGACACTGTAGACACAAAAATCAGGAGCATGTCAGTCAGCACCCGGTATTATTCGAATCTAGCTGAAAGTTTAAATATAAATTTGTCAATTGGTGAATCTATCATAATCCTGCCTGTTCACCTGAAATATGTATTATCGATTGTGATGTGAAGCACTGGTGTGCGAACAAATCTGGAGAAAATTAGTTTAAAAATTAACATGTTACTTATTGGATCACTACTACACAAAACTGTACTCGAGTTCCCTAATTAGATTTTAAACCTAATTTTTAAAATATAATTAAATGAACATTTTTTAAATTTTTCTTATCAGGTAAAAGTAGATTACGACGTTCTATTTAGCAATTATCAACGCGTTTAAGGACTTTCAAGCAGGCAGTCCTAAAGCCTGAGGAGGCACTTGTTGTAGTTGAATAATTCTTCAGTAAAACCTAAAGCTTCAGTCTGCATGGATAAGTACGATACGTAACGTGTATTAAAGCTTAGATTTGACATTGCTGTGAGAATTCAACTCGCTCTTAGTTAGACTTCACTGGTTCAAAACTGAGAGGAAAACGGATTTCCAGGCGTAGATGTCTACCCATGGTCTAAGAACTTCTAAAAATACTCCGCGGATTATTTTATATATAAAGGCCTCCAGTTATATCTGAAGTAAAATAGAAAGTGGATCAGTGGACCTTTTTATTAACATACTTAATGTAGCAAAATCCTCATTCAGACGAATATCTAACTGAGAAGCAAATATTTCTTCGCCCAACCCTTGTCTATATATAATATATATGATAGAGTATGCTAAAAGAAAATGCCCATTCCTTATGTGGTGAGAAAATGGAAGACTGATTTATAAAAGACAAGAAAGATTCTCTGTTGTCTGTCGAAATCACTACAATACCATTCATTAATATATATATTTCGAATTAACGACCACTTTAAAGTGATCAATTTCATACTTTAAAAAGTACCTCAAGGTTGTTAAATGAAAAATCCAGAACACGAATCTGTTAGAGAGTTTGAAAGTGTAAAACGACTGTATGATACAAACACCTTAGCAATTACAGCCCTAAAACCAGTTGAAGAATTAAGATTACAGATAACAGAGACTTGTAATTTTCTTCACTCAAGGTAATTTAAGTAAGTTTCAGTAATGCTTAACAGATATGAAAACCACAAAAATAAGACCGATGAATGAGTATCATGAAGTACTTAAGGTAAAAAGCTCCCCGACCTTGAGGCTAATTGGGTGGACCGCGGTTATCATAAGCAACATTTACCATCTGGAAGCGCAGATAAAGCATATACTAATTGTTTCGCATTCAGAAGAAGCAATGTGGAGTTAGGTTCTTTTAAGGAAGAACCTCATTTCAGACTGACAGAGAAGTTCCTGAATGAAATTAAACAAATAGCGTAATAGGAGATGGGGAATTGACTAAACTTATCCCTCACGCTCAAAGTCATTGGAGGAGTAGGACAGATTCAGATTTCAGATTTATTGGTTGAGGATAGAAGGCTTGGAGCCTTTGTTAATCCTTTTCTAGTAAATCTCTTTGCTTGTACTAACCCTTCTTGAATGAATCAGCTGAGGTTGCAGACACCACTTCTTCTGGGATTCGGTTCCAACAGTTTATGACTCGATGTGAGAACCAGTACTCAATATATCCAATATCGTTTTTACGAGCTAGTATAAACCAATTTGGTTTCTTTGTACTCAACAGCAATATGATTTCTTCTTGGCTTTTGAACTCTCCTGCTATGTCCTCTGAGGTGTTCCGACCTGGTGGGAAGGAAAAGAGATAATAGGTCATTTTCGTCGATAATAGTCGGCCATGTTAGATTACAGTTTCTTAACTGTTCGTTTACACATTGGTTTTTACGTTTATCCTGCAGTTATTCACAACTTATCTTGATGCACACTGTTCACAAATGTTGCGTTTCACCTCATTTTTGTTCCCGCTGTTGTTAAAATTAGATATTTTGTTTGTTTCGAAAGCTTTTACCACCTGGTCAGTTCATTCATTTCATTGTAATAGTTTCATGCGTGTTTTAGTAATTTTTCAGCTGTTTATGAAATAGTACTGTGTGGAAGTTTTGAAATTATGCACATGAACATGTTTGGGTGGCAGAAGCTGTTGTTTCCAGTTTATTTGTTGGTTGCCATTATTGTTGCTGGCTCAACTGGTTACTTAACATGTAGAAATCTGGAGAAAACAATATCTGGAATTCACTTCAATTCATTTTTCATGTAGCAAATTATAATTTTTATCTTATCATAAAAGAATTTATACGTATATCAGTCCTTTTCCAGTTAATATCAGTGCTTTTCTAGCTCATTGTTTAGCGAGTCAGTTGGCATCTCAGACGCAGCTTCTTCTGGGAGTTGGTTCTGAGGTTTTCTGACTTGGTAGACTTGGCAGTACTACGAAGTGGCATAATCCCTTTTGCATCTTGAACTCTCACCACTTCCTCTTGGATATTCCAATCTAATGGGGAGGAATTAGGGAAATAGTTCAGGTGCTCAGTCATTCCTTGAGATCTTGGGCAGAGCGATGAGGTCTTCCCTTTGCCTACAGTATGATAAAGGGAAGAGATTTAAACCACTTCTTTCTTCGTATGATAAATTGGCCTTGTCAGCAAGAATACATGTAATTCTCTCTTGTGGAAAGGGCTGGTTGCCTAGATGCAGTCTTCTAGGTTTTAACTTCACCAGATGTTTTTGTGAAGTGGCGGACATTTGACTGATGATTCTTATTAGGTTCCTGTGTTTTGTCCACAAAGAAATAAAACTGCGACTTACAGCTGGGCGATAGTGAGACGTAGTTTTTAAGTCATCACTTGCTATGACACCTAGATTCATGTGTGTCGGACCTGATGGGAGTGGCATTCCCGACGCTTGCGCACTTCACTACGCTGGTTGGGAGCATTGGTCCTTTGGGTCAGTCTAGCGGTTTTTTGAAATCTCTTTGCAATGTAATCATGTCACCGTCATTCTTAGCTTCTGTCAGAGCTCTTAGGTCTCCTGCATAAAGAACTTTAGGAGATCAGGTGGACCCAAGTCATTAACTGATATGAAGGGCACATAAGAGTACCGTATCTTGGGACACATCACTACTTAATATTGTCCTCGAAGAGTGTCGATTGGGTCGAAATCTCTGTCTTCCACCTAAAAGGATCTTGTAGCAGTAAATGGTTCCCCAAAATTATTGACCACAGCAATCATCACTGAACATTGGATGCTGACCCTCACTGTTTAAGTCGACTTGTTTAGCTGAAGGCTTCCGGTCAAGCATCCATGCCATTTGGTACTCCTTAATGTCACGTTCGTGCACAATCACTAACTAGTTAAGCATTCATCACGGTTTACTATTTGGTCCCGAAATATATCTCATACTTTGGACGATCATTGGTGGCGCTTTGCTTTGTCTTTAGTACTTGAGGAACGAATACTATAGAAGTTGTTGGTATAAGATCTTGCGTTAGTATACCCGGAAAATCCGCGGACGCCAATACCGCCAGCCTCTAAACTGGTGAGCCCAGCCGTGAACTTCATCTTCTATGTACACGTAGATAAACCAGGTGAGTTCATTCCTTTTTTATTTGTTCTTGTACTATATTGCAATCGGCACACATTTCATCATGAGTGATCCTAGTCCCAAGGTCATTCGTATTCGCTCGACCGCCAAAACCATTTAGGTCGTACCATATTGGCCAGATAATGTGGAAACATGGTTTCAGATAGCTGAGCCTGATTTTTGTGAGCATGGGATAACCGATCAACGTTCGCAGTTCCTCGCAGTTATTCACGCCCTACCGCGGGAATTCAGCAAGTGCGTGACGGTGCAGATGTCGAGTCCAGAGGTAAGTAAATCGCACGAGTTGCTCAAAGCATCTCTCCTAAGGAGAAACGTTCTCACGGATTGACAGCGTCTGGACGAATTGGTTCGTAACATCAAGTTAGGGGATCCGTCAGATGTGAGCATGCTGACAAGAATGAGAGAGGTTACTGACCAAAGTTAGTTCGGTGAAGGACTTTTCAGAGAACTCTTCTTATCCAAACTGCCACAGTCTGTACAGACTGTGCTGGTGACACTTCAGGGTGTTATCATAGACGACTTAGCTGTTTCTGCAGATAAAATTCTAGAAATATCTAAACGGTCAGTTCCTGAAATATGCTCGGTGGCCAAACAGACTTCGAGTAAGGATACTGCAGTGATAGAGTTATGCAGCTCTATCCAGCAGATGCTTAGGTCAAACATGCCTAGCAATTCCTTCTACCGTCGTCCTAAATCCCCTCAATGGCAAAGAGTTGGACTGAATCACTTCCGTCAGTTCTACTAGGGATACGAAAAGCCCTAAAATAGATGCTGGTTGTACTACCGCTGAGCTAGTATATGACACGACACTACGACTGCCATGTGAGTCTGTTTCCCCCTCGAGCTTCCCACCAGCGGTAGATCACTCCTCAAACGTCAGCAGGCTTACAAACGCAATGCGTTCAGTTAAACCTGCTCCCCTGCGACCACAGCCCATTGATGTCTTCGTTCACCCCTGTTTAAAAACTTCTTGTTTGATCAAGTTTGCCAGGCTGCCCTTGATTTAAAACCTTCCAGTTTTGTGAGCGCACCAGTGTGAGGCGTTTTATCCGAAGCCTTGGTGAAATCTATGAAAAAACACCGGTCAGCTCTAAGAAGTGGGTTATTTATGCTATCTAAGTGACTTCAAGGTCACCTGCGCTTGGTTTCAACTAGAAATAATGTTAATAATCTTTGTGTGACCACCTATCCTGTTCATTTACGCTTCTGCAACATTACTTACTGATTCCTTCCCTGGTCTTCCTAAGCTGGTGGTCAAGCTACTACCAAAACCAACTCAAAATATTGAAGGGAGAAAGTAATCCCTATGCCTTTTCAAGGATGTATTTATTAATGATAGTACATACAGAATATAGGAATACACCGCCACACCCCGACTCATCATATACGCTCTTGTCCCCTGAAAATCCGATCATCTGCAGGGTTATTGAACCAGTGCAGACAAATAAATTGATCGTTAAAGGAGAAATGACTGAGACTCAGTTGAATTGACTAACTTTTTCATCTCCTTAGGATCTCTGGTTATTTCTGGACCTCATCCAGCTCTCGCTTGTTGAAATATAGTCAGTCAGATACGAGATACTTCCACGGAAACTGTGCTACTCTCTTGATACAGGTTGCTATTTTATAGATGTTCCACGATGCTTGATTATTCTATGCACTGTCTTGATCAAGGAGTAGGTAAAGCTGCTAGACTTGCAGTTTGGAGAAGAGTCTGTGAGTCCTTCCCTGTAGATGACGGTTGCCATAGGATCATGCTGTCACGCGTAAAAGTCAGTATGAGATATGGCCTCGAAATCCTGGCAAAATTGTCTGCCATGTGAGCGGACGAAGTTTATCGCATCCATCTGATTTTCCTTTCTCTAGTGTAGCTAGGGACCGAAGTACGACGTTTTGGTCGGTGTTGACAGAACCTATCCTCAAACCTAGCCTCAAACACGCCTGATTCAACTGGCGGCGACAACTCATATGTGAAAGCTCTAGACACTTGGTCTGCTATTGCGTTTGACTTTTCCTGATCCACTGAGATGGTATCGTTTTTAGCAAACAGGTTTTGGACCTTTGTGGACGTCATATTCTTGAAGTTAATGCACGAGGAAGTTTCTTTCTGGTTGTTCCAGTGCACTTCTAAACTACGTACAGCTGTGTGGGATGGGACAAAATAGATCTGTCCTATAGCAGTAGTAATTAAATATGGTACACTAACAGAAAAACAGAGCAGTAAGAGTCAACCTAGCCAAAAGCAGCTGAGGACTGACAGTAGTCACTTTCAACCAATATTCAGATAAATGCTGTATCCACGCTCGAGTGAAATGTATTTCAGATAAAAAAGATATACGGTAATATCTGCGGAGCGGCTCGCTATAGCAATTTGTTTATTGCTAAACGTTCAGAGAAGGACTCTTACTTTAGCGGTGGTCGGTAACAGGTAATTTTCAGTTCATAACTAGTTAAGAACCAGAATACTAATGAAATAAGCTATATAAAATGACACTTGAAGCTCTGAGGAGCTGAAAATTGCCACCATATTAGTCCTAGGGATTTGGAACGGGATATTCAACATATTTTCATTAGTTTCTGAATTTTCCTGGTCAATTGATGCTGTACAGACATTGGCTGGAATTTGACTGTTGTTATAAAGATAGTATCTCACGATTGTCAATAGGGATGAGTCACTGGAGAAACTATGCGATTCCTGTCAAGAGTTTGCAAGAATTGGGGTCAATGAGGTCATCAGG